GAATCATTCAGAATCTTGTACACCACATATGTAAGACCAATCCTGGAGTATGCGGCCCCAGCATGGAGCCCGTACCTTGTCAAGCACAAGACGAAGCTGGAAAAAGTCCAAAGGTATGCCACTAGACTAGTCCCAGAACTAAGAGGCATGAGTTACGAGGAATGGCTGCGGAAAATGCACCTTACGACACTGTAAGACAGAAGAGTAAGGGGAGACATGATCACAACCTACAAAATCCTCAGAGGAATCGACCGGGTAAACAAGGATAAACTATTCAACACTGGTGGGACGCGAACAAGGGGACACAGGTTGAAACTGAGTACCCACATGAGCCACAGAGACGTTAGAAGGAACTTTTTCAGTGTCAGAGTAGTTAACGGATGGAATGCATTAGGCAGTGATGTGGTGGAGGCTGACTCCATACACAGTTTTAAATGTAGATATGATAGAGCCCAGTATGCTCAGGAATCTGTACACCAGTTGATTGACAGTTGAGAGGCGGGACCAAAGAGTCAAAGCTCAACCCCCGCAAGCACAAATAGGTGAGTACACACACACACACACACACACACACACACACACACACACACACACACACACACACAGATGTGTGTGGTGTGGAGAAAAAGAAAAAAATGTAGTTAGTAAACAGTTGATTGACAGTTGAGAGGCGGGCCGAAAGAGCAAAGCTCAACCCCCGCAAACACAACTAGGTGAATACAACTAGGTGAATACACACACAAATATATTATATATATAATATATATATTTTTAAACTTCATTACACACAATGGGTTACAACATTGATTACATGCAAGGTACAAGGCTAGTTGTCACAGGTTGTAGAGTTACTCCAGCTCCTCAGATGTATGGTAGGTACCATGGATGCAGTGTGCGTTTCCTCTCTGTATGGCCACACTAAGGCGCTGAAAGAGGAAACTGGGGCCTCTAGGGTCTCTAGTTGTTTCAGTTAGCTTAGAACCCAGCTCCTTCAAAAACTCTGAGTGTCTCTGAGGCAATGGGGGACAAAATTGTAGTGGTGATCCAAGTCTGTATTTACTAGACTTGGCGGACTCGTAAATACATATACCTGTTTATTGATAGGTTTATCAGTCCTATATATTCTTACTTCGTATACTCCATCTAGTTCGTAGCCCCTAGTCTACTGGATACTCTAGATGATCTTCTTCATCTTCATGATCTTCTTGATCCATCTTCTTGTTTCGTGATGGATTATCTTGAAAGGAGAGCTTAACATTGATTGTCTATCTTACCCTGAAGAAACTCGTCCAAGACATGAACCTTTCTTAAGAGGTGGACATATGGGAGTTGACAAGAGCCTGGTGTGTACCGGGTCTACAGAGCCTGGTGTGTACCGGGTCTACAGAGCCTGGTGTGTACCGGGTCTACAGAGCCTGGTGTGTACCGGATCTACAGAGCCTGGTGTGTACCGGGTCTACAGAGCCTGGTGTGTACCGGGTCAACAGAGCCTGGTGTGTACCGGGTTTACAGAGCCTGGTGTGTACCGAGTCTACAGAGACTGGTGTGTACCGGGTCGACAGAGCCTGGTGTGTACCGGGTCTACAGAGCCTGGTGTGTACCGGGTCAACAGAGCCTGGTGTGTACCGGGTCGACAGAGCCTGGTGTGTACCGGGTCGACAGAGCCTGGTGTGTACCGGGTCTACAGAGCCTGGTGTGAACCGGGTCTACAGAGCCTGGTGTGTACCGGGTCTACAGAGCCTGGTGTGTACCGGGTCTACAGAGCCTGGTGTGTACCGGGTCTACAGAGCCTGGTGTGTACCGGGTCAACAGAGCCTGGTGTGTACCGGGTCGACAGAGCCTGGTGTGTACCGGGTCAACAGAGCCTGGTGTGTACCGGGTTTACAGAGCCTGGTGTGTACCGGGTCTACAGAGCCTGGTGTGTACCGGGTTTACAGAGCCTGGTGTGTACCGGGTCTACAGAGCCTGGTGTGTACCGGGTCTACAGAGCCTGGTGTGTACCGGGTCTACAGAGCCTGGTGTGTACCGGGTCAACAGAGCCTGGTGTGTACCGGGTCGACAGAGCCTGGTGTGTACCGGGTCAACAGAGCCTGGTGTGTACCGGGTTTACAGAGCCTGGTGTGTACCGGGTCTACAGAGCCTGGTGTGTACCGGGTTTACAGAGCCTGGTGTGTACCGGGTCTACAGAGCCTGGTGTGTACCGGGTTTACAGAGCCTGGTGTGTACCGGGTCTACAGAGACTGGTGTGTACCGGGTCTACAGAGCCTGGTGTGTACCGGGTCTACAGAGACTGGTGTGTACCGGGTCTACAGAGCCTGGTGTGTACCGGGATTACAGAGCCTGGTGTGTACCGGGTCTACAGAGCCTGGTGTGTACCGGGTTTACAGAGCCTGGTGTGTACCGGGTCTACAGAGCCTGGTGTGTACCGGGTTTACAGAGCCTGGTGTGTACCGGGTCTACAGAGACTGGTGTGTACCGGGTCTACAGAGCCTGGTGTGTACCGGGTCTACAGAGACTGGTGTGTACCGGGTCTACAGAGCCTGGTGTGTACCGGGTCTACAGAGCCTGGTGTGTACCGGGTCTACAGAGACTGGTGTGTACCGGGTCTACAGAGCCTGGTGTGTACCGGGTCTACAGAGCCTGGTGTGTACCGGGTCTACAGAGCCTGGTGTGTACCGGGTCTACAGAGCCTGGTGTGTACCGGATCTACAGAGCCTGGTGTGTACCGGGTCTACAGAGACTGGTGTGTACCGGGTCTACAGAGCCTGGTGTGTACCGGGTTTACAGAGCCTGGTGTGTACCGGGTCTACAGAGCCTGGTGTGTACCGGGTTTACAGAGCCTGGTGTGTACCGGATCTACAGAGCCTGGTGTGTACCGGGTCTACAGAGCCTGGTGTGTACCGGGTTTACAGAGCCTGGTGTGTACCGGGTCTACAGAGCCTGGTGTGTACCGGGTCTACAGAGCCTGGTGTGTACCGGGTCAACATCTTCCTCCATATAATCTTATGAGCTACAGTCGTGTCTTTAGGAAAAGCCAAACATGTTTAGACACTCTTTGGTATCAGTGGAAATGGTTCATCCTGTTGGTCATCAAGCTTTTTCTTCCGTTGCATTTTTGTTGTGGCTTCTAGTAAACTGGTGTTAAATCCATCACTTTGTGTAAGCAGAACAACGTCGTCGTTGTTGCTGGACACCTCGGAGAGTCCGGAACCTTTCTCGGTCAGACTTGGTGCTTCAGCCGGCAGGTAGTTTGATGAAGTAATTTCACCTGATTCCTAATTAATAGTAGTAGGCATCCATCAGTCTCAGGAGACTATGGAGTTGCGCTCTGGTTGTTGGTGTGGAGTGGCCTCTCCAGGGCACAAAGTCAGGGTAGGTAGATATACGGGGGAGAAGCTGTCACTCATGCAGCAGGTCCCCCTTTCTCCACGCCGCTGAAAGTCTCCAATGGAAAGGCAAACGCCAATACGATTGGTTCCAGCGCCGTTGCATGAACTGTAAAGAACGAGGTTGAAGGCTAGTTAATACCGTTTGATGATTACAGCCCCGCTCCTGTGCCAGGTAAGTCCACTACGGGCTCACCATAGCCCGTGCTACTTGCCCCGCTCCCGTGCCAGGTAAGTCCACTACGGGCTCACCATAGCCCGTGCTACTTGCCCCGCTCCCGTGCCAGGTAAGTCCACTACGGGCTCACCATAGCCCGTGCTACTTGCCCCGCTCCCGTGCCAGGTAAGTCCACTACGGGCTCACCATAGCCCGTGCTACTTGCCCCGCTCCTGTGCCAGGTAAGTCCACTACGGGCTCACCATAGCCCGTGCTACTTGCCCCGCTCCTGTGCCAGGTAAGTCCACTACGGGCTCACCATAGCCCGTGCTACTTGCCCCGCTCCCGTGCCAGGTAAGTCCACTACGGGCTCACCATAGCCCGTGCTACTTGCCCCGCTCCTGTGCCAGGTAAGTCCACTACGGGCTCACCATAGCCCGTGCTACTTGCCCCGCTCCCGTGCCAGGTAAGTCCACTACGGGCTCACCATAGCCCGTGCTACTTGCCCCGCTCCTGTGCCAGGTAAGTCCACTACGGGCTCACCATAGCCCGTGCTACTTGCCCCGCTCCTGTGCCAGGTAAGTCCACTACGGGCTCACCATAGCCCGTGCTACTTGCCCCGCTCCTGTGCCAGGTAAGTCCACTACGGGCTCACCATAGCCCGTGCTACTTGGAACATTTTGACCGAGTAACTGAATCTAAAACAAAAACAAAACAATGGAGATTATCATGTCAAGTGGCAGAACAGGATGCAGGCCTGTAACACACACTGGCGCCAACAGTCAGGTGGACCTGGACAACCAGGAGGGCTTCGTCTTGGGTTACCTCGGAGTCTGAGGATGGCAGGAGAACATGGTTCTTGCAGCATAGTATAATAAAGCCCGGGCAGCCACACTAAGTGACCACTTCCTCATTTATATACTATAAAGTTCCTTTTACATCGCAGTTATATTATTTTATTCAAGTCTTATTCTAAGTTAAATGTTATACTTTTATTTAGATAAAGTCTAGTTTAACCAGTATATATAAGTAAAGTCTTTTCAAATATGTCATATAAGTGATTTGGTGTAATATTAATTCTTGTCTTTGAAAATATTAGAGTTTAATTTAATTCTTACAATTTTATTTAAGTTTCTGGCTTGTATAAAATTTACAAGCGGAAACTAAGGCGTCAGACATGTTTTCGTATGTTTTGTGAATATTATTTAGGGGTTCCAGTTCCAGGGGAACTGGAACCTCAAGTCTTGAGCCATGTCTCTGAATGCTTTTGTGATGTTATTTAGTCAGCTTCGAAGAGACCTAACTTTCCCCATAAGAATAACACGTGAAGGTTAATGAATACGTATCTTGGCCTCAACTGGTCATACAACTACAGGTTGTACGCAGATCGTGTATATATTCACTCAGTAGATGTAAACTATGCTATAGATGCTTGTAACTCAATTTTACCATCTCAGGGAAGTGAAGGTGGCACAATCATTTTGATAGTGAACCCTGATAATGTGATGGACTCAGCGGACGCCATGGTGATGGCCGCCCAGACCAGCGAGGTCTGGCCTGTGTTGTACACGGTCACTACTCTCCCGCCACCACACATCACACTATTTAAGGTCAGACCCCCATCAATATCAGTTGTCTTTGTAACCTATCAGAATATATCTCAAATCCTTACAAGTATATAATTTATATATTTCTATATAATTAATTACAAGCATATAATGAATATCTTTAAATGTGTTCTTAGATAAGACAGGTTTCAAGGCAATACAATTTGAACGTTGCATTACATTTAATAAGATACCAAAATGTTGAATACGAAAGTTTCCTTAAATATTTAGATACAAATATTTCCTTAAACAGATTTTACCATTAATTTTTTGTTTTGTTTTGTATATACAAGAGTTTTTATCATTCTGGTAAAGCCACGAGCACGCATAGCGTTTTGGGCAGTGCTTAATACTAATTACACACACCTTTAATAAGGCCTTTATTTCAGTAACTTTATTTCAATAATAATATAGACTGTAGCGAAATAATACAATCAAATTCTACGGCTGACTATTTTGTTCATCAACACACAACGCTACACTAAAGTGTGCAAGTTGTCTTGGCAGTTAAGGGCCAATTAACCTCTTCCAGGATGTGGCAGACAGGACTGGTGGGCGGGTACTGGTAGTTCCAGACGACCCTATCACTCAGAGTGGCGAGGTCCAGCAGTCAGTGACGGTACAACACAGGCTCGTCCAGCACCTGCGTACCGTCCAGGACCACGCTCTACGATACACCTCCTACACTCCGACACTGCAGGCAAGTTCTTATGTCAGCCACTATGTCAGACTCTTGTATCTCTGTCGATATACACAGCTCCCTGGATCTTCTCATGGAGCATCTCCACCCGCGTCTCACCACTTCCAGAGCCCAGAAGAATGATAATACCAGAAGTATGATAGGAGTGGAGTAGCCATAATATATAATAATAATACCAGAGCCTTATAATAGAGCTACCAGAGCATCATTATAGAGCTTCCAGAGCCTCATTATAGAGATTCCAGAGACTCATTATAGAGATTTCAGTGACTCATTATAGAGATTCGAGAGCCTTATTATAGACATTCCTGAGCCTCAATTATAGAACTTGCAGAGCCTTATTATAGAGCTTCCAAAGACTAATTATAGAGCTTCCAGATCTTCAATTTAGAGTTTACACAGCCTCGTCACAGATCTCGGTGTCTCATCGCGGAGCTGTGTGTGTGTGTCTTTAGAGGAATGCAACTCTTAGTTATTCCTGTTCAATACTCGCCACGGGCCATGTTTGGCCCCAGCGGGCCACAGTGGGCCCACTCCTACCCCTTAGAAGTATGATAGGAGTGGAGTAGCCATAATAAGTATGACTAAAAAAGTAGAATGCTAATTGTATTTTAATGAAGCAACAAAACAAATTATTTGAAATACAATAATACCAGGTGGCTGAGATGGGATTTGCAGCTTTTGAGCTTCTTGAGCCCGGATGGGCACATGTATAAGCAAGTAGATGGGGTCGCCATGGGTTCTCCCCTAGGTGTCCTGTTTGCGAACTTCTACATGGGTACCATCGAACAAAAGGTCTTAGTCGACATGAACTTGAAACCGGCCATATACTGCAGGTATGTTGACGACATTTTTACACAGGTACCTGATGTCAGACATCTGCAGGAGCTGAAGGAGGCATTTGAGCGGAATTCTGTGTTGCGTTTCACTTACGAGATGGAGAAGGATGGGAAGCTGCCCTTTCTAGATGTAACAGTCATGGAAAGGAGCGGAGGTTTCCACACTGCAGTCTACACTAAGGAAACAAACATAGGAATGTGCCTAAATGCCAATAGTGACTGCCCGGACAGGTACAAGAGAAGTGTTGTTAACGCTTATGTCGACCGTGCTCTCAGCCACAGCTCAGGATGGAAGCAAGTCGATGAAGAACTCTGTAGGGTAAGGCAGGTCCTAGTCAACAACGGCTTCTCCAATGGTTTCGTTGAAGACATCATAAGCAGAAAGGTGAAACGCCATGCAACCTCTGAAGAGAAAACTAACACAACACCTGTACCCCCTATTAGACTATTTTACAGGAACTTCTTTTCCACAACTCATAAAACGGAGGAAAGGGTCCTGAAAGATATTGTTAATAGAAACGTTATCCCTACAGACAAAAATCAGAAGATACAATTGACGATCTACTATAAAACCAAGAAAACGGCCAACCTACTCATGAGAAACTCTCCAGACACAAAGCAGAACGCTTTAAAAGAGACCAATCTCGTCTATGCCTTCAAATGCTTTCTTGGGGACTGTAAGCCTCAAAGAATTCAGTATATAGGCAAGACAACAACATCTCTTTCCAGGCGATTAACGATGCATAAGCAACAGGGCTCCATTAAGGAACATATTATCTCTTCCCACAACCAGACTATCACCAGAGATGTTTTAACAAAAAACACGGAAATCATCGATAGATACAGCGATAGCAGGCGGCTTGATATCTGCGAGGCACTACACATTAAGAAGTCGACACCAGCAATCAACAGCCAATTAATGCACAACTATATTCTACCCACTTCAAGACTCCGCACCAATATAGAAGCATCAAGAAATATGGGCCAATTGGCCCTTTGCAGTTACTTCCATTCTTCCCTTTAACTTACAAAATATTATACCCATTGTTTCGTGTTCTGTCTTGTGTTGAAAGTTTGTTTTCACCTCATCCAAAACTGTTGTAACATATCACCTCACCCAAATGCAGGTATAAAATCGAAGCTGTTTGAACTTTGTTCAGTTATAGTCGTGAGTGTGTGTGTAAACTAAAGTCTTTGAAAATGTAATAAGTTTTATGAAACGCGTTCAAGTGTCGCATCAGACTAGAAATAAAAATGAATTTTGGAGAATTGATTTTTCAGTTACCATCAACAGTGAAAAGAAATATAAGAAACATAGAGAAAATTCGTGTTAGAATTATTAATCTTACTTTTTCGGTCATATTTAATAATATCTGTCTACAGGAAAGACTGCTACCAAAATACATACATACATATATATATATATATATATATATATATATATATATATATATATATATATATATATATATATATATATATATATATATATATATACATATATAAATATATATATATATATATATATATATATATATATATATATATATATATATATATATATATATATATATATATATATATATATATATATATATATATATATATATGTCGTACCTAGTAGCCAGAATGCACTTCTCTGCCTACTTTGCAAGGCCCGATTTGCCTAATAAGCCAAGTTTTCGTGAATTAATTGTTTTTCGACTACCTAACCTACCTAACCTAACCTAACCTAACTTTTTCAGCTACCTAACCTAACCTAACCTATAAAGATAGGTTAGGTTAGGTTAGGTAGGGTTGGCTAGGTTCGGTCATATATCTACGTTAGTTTTAACTCCAATAAAAAAAATTGACCTCATACATTATGAAATGGATAGCTTTATCATTTCATAAGAAAAAATTAGAGAAAATATAATAATTCAGGAAAACTTGGCTTATTAGGCAAATCGGGCCTTGCATAGTAGGCAGAGAAGTGCGTTCTGGCTACTAGGTACGACATATATATATATATATATATATATATATATATATATATATATGTCGTACCTAGTAGCCAGAACTCACTTCTCAGCCTACTATGCAAGGCCCGATTTGCCTAATAAGCCAAGTTTTCCTTAACTAATATATTTTCTCTATTTTTTTTCTTATGAAATGATAAACCTACCCATTTCATTATGTATGAGGTCAATTTTTTTTATTGGAGTTAAAATTAATGTAGATATATGACTGAACCTAACCAACCCTACCTAACCTAACCTAACCTATCTTTATAGGTTAGGTTGCCGAAAAAGTTAGGTTAGGTTAGGTTAGGTAGGTTAGGTAGTCGAAAAAACATATATTCATGAAAACTTGGCTTATTAGGCAAATCGGGCCTTGCATATTAGGTTGAGAAGTGCGTTCTCGCTACTAGGTACGACATATATATATATATATATATATATATATATATATATATATATATATATATATATATATATATATATATATATATATATATATATATATATATATATATATGTCGTACCTAGTAGCCAGAACGCACTTCTCTGCCTATATATATATATATATATATATATATATATATATATATATATATATATATATATATATATATATATATATATATATATATATATATATATATAAATTTTGTGAGGGTACCACCTCTGGTGCCAATGTGGGGACCCATAGCCTCGGAGAAGAAAATAAAAAGTATTCAAAGGAGACCTTGTGGTTTCTCACTGATCACTAATATTATCTTCTCCTACCACCCCCCTACTTTTGTATGTACACATATATATTTGTTTTATATGAACTTTGTTGTAACGGGGGGTGGGGGAAATAGCTCTATCTTGTCCATTATTCCACCCCCCCCAGTTAACTAACGAGGCCGCGGGAAACAGCTCTCTCTAGTCCGTTATTCCGTCCCCAGTTATCCAACTATTCTAGAGCACCCTCCAAAGTACCTACGGCAGCTTCTCTCGCTCAACACCTTGTAACCTAGGTATTTGACTACCTAGTACTAAGACTACAAGGCTTGATCGGCTACCCGAAACTCTAGAGAGAACTCTAGAATACATTTCACTGCCACAAACGTATAAGAGACACGAAAAGAAAGAGTAGACTAGTGAAGTAATTAGTGAGGGTTTGGGGTGAGAGGTAGAGAGGTGGGAGGAGCGAGGAGGGTCATTAGCTGAAAGGGAAAGTTCGGAGAGGGGTGGAGGGAGAGGAGTAGATAGTAGAAGTAGAAGAGTAGATAGTAGAAGACGAAATGCTGCCACCATCCATTCAAGACCATTTCATACAAGACAAGGAATGGAACTTGTCTGTATTACAGTATCCTCAAAAGATGTTATTACCATGTATCAACTCCAAACATGTACTCATTAAATCATGAAACCGCAGAGGCTTTCTCATCTCAACTCAAAGCTCTAGGGAACAAAGTTAAACACAATTTAAATAATAAAGTCATAATTATATTTCACATGAAGTGCGAACAAGCCTGAATGGTCCCCAGGACTATATGCGACTGAAGTCGCATATAGTCCAGCATATATACTTTCACATGAAGTATCATAATTTAGCAATTCAATTAAAATGTTCCAGTTTAATATGCAAAGTGAGTCATCATCCAAGAATTTGAGAACCCTACAACTTGACTGCCCCTGATCATCACACAACATATGTAAACACGACTAAGTCACCTTAATGCTCAACTCACCAAGTGTCTGCCTATAGCTGGATAGGGGGGGGGTTGGGAGTCTGTAGTTGACAGAGACTGTCCCGCCCTACCGGCCGACAGCCTCCCTGCTAGGCCGTCTTCTCTCTTCTGCTGGCTGCTGTTCTTCTCTATCTCGTTAATGCTCCCGAATCGATCGCTCTCCGAGTATATATTGGGGAACCTAGTAACTAACTCCGCCCTCAAGTAGATAGCCTCCAGCTCTCTACCAAGCCACTCCTTAAACGTCGGCATGTTTGAAGGCTGCCAGACTCCAATTATAAGATTAGCAGAAGCAAGGTGAAATTCGCATGATCTGACCTCAGGTCACTTGGTGGTCATTAACGCTTAGAGGTGACAGTTTCAGGCGAACAAACTGGCGCCTTCTCAAATCCTTGTCTGTGACTCATGTATCTCTATGTATTTTAAATGCAACTAAACCAAACACCTTACAGTGTTACATTGTTACAAAAAAGGAGTTACATATAGGGTACAAAGATGGTTATCATAGGTTGTCGAGTTCCTCTAGCTCCTCCTCATATATATATATATATATATATATATATATATATATATATATATATATATATATATATATATATATATATATATATATATATATATATATATATATATATATATATATATATATATATATATATATATATATATATATATATATATATATATATATATATATATATATATGTCGTACCTAGTAGCCAGAACGCACTTCTCGGCCTACTATGCAGGGCCCGATTTGCCTAATAAGCCAAGTTTTCCTGAAATAATATATTTTCTCTAATTTTTTTCTTATGAAATGATAAAGCTAAACATTTCATTATGTTTGAGGACATTTTTTTTTAATTGGAGTTAAAATTAAAGTAGATATATGACCGAACCTAACCAACCCTACCTAACCTAACCTAACCTATCTTTATAGGTTAGGTTAGGTTAGGTAGCCGAAAAAGTTAGGTTAGGTTAGGTTAGGTAAGTTAGGTAGTCGAAAAACAATTAATTCTTGAAAACTTGGCTTATTAGGCAAATCGGGCCTTGCATAGTAGGCTGAGTAGGGCGTTCTGGCTACTAGGTACGACATATATATATATATATATATATATATATATATATATATATATATATATATATATATATATATATATATATATGTTGTACCTAGTAGCCAGAATGCACTTCTCGGCCTACTATGCAAGGCCCGATTTGCCTAATAAGCCAAGTTTTCATGAATTAATATATTTTCTCTAATTTTTTTCTTATGAAATGATAAAGCTACCCATTTCAATATATATGAGGTGAATTTTTTTTATTTGAGTTAAAATTAACGTAGATATATGACCGAACCTAACCAACCCTACCTAACCTAACCTAACCTATCTTTATAGGTCAGGTTAGGTTAGGTAGCCGAAAAAGTTAGGTTAGGTTAGGTTAGGTAGGTTAGGTAGTCGAAAAACAATTAATTCATGAAAATTTTGCTTAATAGGCAAATCGGGCCTTGCATAGTAGGCCGAGAAGTGCGTTCTGGCTACTAGGTACGACATATATATATATATATATATATATATATATATATATATATGTCGTACCTAATAGCCAGAACGCACTTCTCAGCCTACTATTCAAGGCCCGATTTGCCTAATAAGCCAAGTTTTCATGAATTAATGTTTTTTCGTCTACCTAACCTACCTAACCTAACCTAACCTAGCTTTTTTGGCTACCTAACCTAACCTTACCTATAAATATAGGTTAGGTTAGGTTAGGTAGGGTTGGTTAGGTTCGGTCATATATCTACGTTAATTTTAACTCCAATAAAAAAAAATTGACCTCATACATAGAGAAAAGGGTTGCTTTATCATTTCATAAGAAAAAAATTATAGTAAATATATTAATTCAGGAAAACTTGGCTTATTAGGCAAATCGGGCCTTGAATAGTAGGCTGAGAAGTGAGTTCTGGCTACTAGGTACGACATATATATATATATATATATATATATATATATGTCGTACCTAGTAGCCAGAACTCACTTCTCAGCCTACTATGCAAGGCCCGATTTGCCTAATAAGCCAAGTTTTCATGAATTAATGTTTTTTCGTCTACCTAACCTACCTAACCTAACCTAACCTAGCTTTTTTTGGCTACCTAACCTAACCTTACCTATATATCTAGGTTAGGTTAGGTTAGGTAGGGTTGGTTAGGTTCGGTCATATATCTACGTTAATTTTAACTCCAATAAAAAAAATTGACCTCATACATAGTGAAAAGGGTAGCTTTATCATTTCATAAGAAAAAAATTATAGTAAATATATTAATTCAGGAAAACTTGGCTTATTAGGCAAATCGGGCCTTGAATAGTAGGCTGAGAAGTGAGTTCTGGCTACTAGGTACGACATATATATATATATATATATATATATATGGCTATGCGAGCCATAAGCTATGTGTGTTTCATTACATACAATAATTGTCTCATTGCTTGTTTTTTATGAGATACTATATGTTTATCATGAATTTGTTTCATTAAAATGTATGCGTCTCATCGGAGCTCCTTATTTTTCACCATAGAGCTTTTACATGCCTCATCGTAGAATCCTGTATCATCACCGAGTTCTATGTTTCTTAGCAGAGCACATATGTATTTTCAGTCCAAGCTGTGTCCCATCACTGAGACCTTAGCGATCCCCCGTTATCCTACACCTCTAACAGAGATCCTTCCATACATCAGGTTGGCCAGGAGCAGCTGAGCAGCGACGTGTCTACCATCGACATCTTCCTCACCAACTCCACACACACGGCCAGCTTGTACTTGTACACCCACACCCGACCACAGCACCTCACCATCAACTCTCGCCCAGTGTTTACAAGCGAGGTCACCAACACCTCCTTCCTGGTGCTTCTTCAGGACCTGCAGGTGGGTGGTGTGGCTGTGTCTGGTAGGTGTGGCATAGGTCATTATAACAGGAGCGTCTTGACCAGACACTCCTGTTTAGGCAGCTTGATTTTTATATGGCTCCGCTGTTTATGTTTCATAATTACGAGATAACGCTGTTTATGTTTCATAATTACGAGATATCGCTGTTTATGTTGCATGATTAAGATAATGTTGTTCATGTAGTCAATTTGTAGGTATTTGTATGTCCTGGACGTTTACGTGGCTTATATATTTATCGGGTCAGGATATTTGTGGTTGTTAATGTGGTGTGATTGTTTGTGTAGTGATGTTTCATGTGGTTTCGCTGTTTACGCTGTGTGGTATTTTATGCGTTGTGGGGAACTTTGTGACAGCTATTGTGTGTGGCATAGTTGTATATGTGACATGTTTGTTTCAAGCTGCTTAGTGTTTTATTTAATGCGGTTCTTTATGTGGTTTTGCTGTTTTTTGTGAAATAATTGTTTATGTGTTGTAGGTTACGGTGGCGTAGTACAAGATAACTGGTTATGTACTTACTTAATTGTGCTTGCGGGGGTTGAGCTCTGGCTCTTTGGTCCCGCCTCTCAACTGTCAATCAACTAATGTACAGGTTCCTGAGCCTACTGGGCTCTATCATATCTACACTTGAAGCTGTGTATGGAGTCAGCCTTCCCCACATCACTTCCTAATGCATTTCATTTGTCTACTACTCTGACACTGAAAAAATCTTTCTAACGTCTCTATGACTCCTTTGGGCACTCAATTTCCACCAGTTCCTCGAGTGCGTGTGCCCCTTGTGGTTAATAGCCTATCTTTATCTATCCTATCAATTCCTCTGAGAATCTTGTATGTGGTGATCATGTCCCCTCTAACTCTTATGTCCCCCAGTGACGTGAGGTTAAATTCCCGTAGTCTCTCCTCGTAGCTCATACCCCTCAGTTCGGGTACTAGTCTGGTGGCAAACCTTCGAACCTTTTCAGTGTGGAGAGATGGTGATGTGGATGTTGGAGGGAGTGCTTATATGGCCTCATTGACAATATATGTATGATATATATCAACTGTTCACTAAACCTACCAGTGATTTGACTTTCCTGCCACCTTGACACAGCCGGGACACAACAGCATAGAGGTCGGAGGCTTGAGCTCGGAGGTGGAGCCGACGACGCCGGTGGAGGTGCTGGTGGAACGATCTGCGGATGACCCTGAGGTAGAGCTGAGGACCTCACACGACCTCACCTCACTCAACCTCGCCGACCCTCACCACCCCGTCACCCTCCTCGTTAAGGTTGGTGAGACAAGCTGCCTTGCTGGGCATGATGGATGTTGTGGAGAGGAGACTGGAGGAAGGGCTTGTGGAGAGGAGACTGGAGGAGGGGCTTGTGGAGAGGAGACTGGAGGAGGGGCTTGTAACGAGGGTCATTCCATCTCAAATCACCAAAAAGTCACATATGGCTCCCAATCGACCCTCTCTAAATGCCATGAAATTTTGTAGTAAGATAGCCCTAGACCCCTAATGACACTTTGCAAAATATTAGAGCTCAATCTGCTTTGGTTCTTAAATAACAGGTCTATGTTCAATGGGCTCTCGTCCTGTTAATGCGTAAATACCACAAAAATTACCAACTTTGACCTTTTGTTAAATCACTTCTATTGCCTGTAGGAGTGTGAAATTTGACATACCAGGACAACTTTTGACGTAGAATAAAGTATTGTATTCGAAAAAGCAGTATGGGTGCCCATTCAGCTATCCATCGATGCTAAAATCTCTGCCAAATTTTGTCGCGAGAAATTTGGACCCCAATTTGGAGACCACGGACTCATCAGCAAACGGTCTAAACGCCTTGATCTTTTGCAACGATGTATAACAAGTACAATATTATGTAGTGATGCAATAGCAACTCTGTTGTATCTATATGTCCAGAGGTGGCCCACTTTAAAGTTAGCCAAAATTTTTTTTTGCAAAACTAGCCAACTTTCAAGGCAAAAATCTCAATATGCGTCATTCCCAATTTGGTTTTGAATGACGCCATTGGATAGAGCAGATTCTTCTGTACAAGAGTAACTTTTATTTGGGTTGGGATCTGTATTCCTAGTTCAGCCAGAGGACTCTGAAAATGACATACCTTGGTGCGATATCGAAAAAATCAAATCATGATTCTCCATCTTCTTTGTGCACTGATCATGACTGCTAGCAAATTGATATCCAAACTGATTGGAATTTTTTTAAGCTTCATTGGGTAGAACATTTTTGGGTGGGATTCAGAATTATTATTAAACAATCAGTGCTATTTTAGGTTCCTGTTCTATATTTATCTTTTCATCTTTGTATTATCGTGTCAGCAGGTCAAACATTGCTGTTTACTTATTTGTTTATTTACATGCAATAAATACACAAATAAATAAAAAGCAATATTAATATTAATGTATTACAGGTATCACTTGAAATTACTGTATTCAGTTAGTTAAATAATTTGATTTGACTTTGATTACAGATACATCATGAATCAGGGTTCCATAGATTTATTGCCATGTGTTATTGCTAGCCATGAGCGTGGCTCTTCTGAATGTCACTTGACAACCTACACTCTTAATAAAGGCTTGAAGTTTCTAAAACAGTATAGTGCAGAAGATCAAAAACTGATAGCAAAGTGAAGTAAACTGAACTTGGATGGAGAATCTCAAGTCTGCCTCCATCATGAAGCTTTCCTGTTGACGAAATTTGAATTTTTGCAAGAAACTTGCTGCAAACCCTTCAAGAAGAAATGCCGTGTAAAGCGAAAAGATTTGCGATCAATCACAGTAACTACTGCAGAGAAAATGTCAGATATGGTGAAAGTCAGTATTAAGCCTGGCCAAAAGTTGTGCTCATCATGCAGAAAGGAATTGGACAGTAAGCAGGTAAGAGAGTCCAGCTCTACTGAATCTGATGACCCTGCTGAAAATATGGAAATCTGTGAAAGTGTAAACACAAGTTTATCAGTATTAGGCATCTCACCTATTAACTATCAACGAGTTAGTGCAAGGGATAAGCATAGTTATGCAAAGCGTAAGATTAGCCAAGCACAGGAATTAATTGCCGAGCAGATTGCTGCAATTGAAAATATTGATTGGCAAAACCTGTTGGTACCAAGCTCTAGCCAACAGTGCACAAATTGCCAAGACTTCAATAAACTCATTGAAGAAACGAAACTAAAATTCCATGTAGCAAAGCGCCATGAAAAAATACAAATCTTAACCCTCGTGCCACAAAGCTGGTCTATCAAAATGACAATGGAGCAATTCAAAGTTTCAGAATACAGGGTTCGCGAAGCTAGGAAGCTGAAAGAAGAACAGGGAATACTTTTCAAACGGTGACAATTTTTCCATTATTAGAGCCTTATCCAAGATTTATTGCTAACAGCATTCAGGCTTGGGAACCATAAAGATACCCACTATAGGCTTGGAATCCTAGACTAAGTCTCCACACAAGGCTAGGGAATCTGCTGGATACCCAATTAACAGGCTTGAAAACCTGTGAGAAAGTGGCCTATTTGAGGCTTGGAATCCTAGGATAAGACTCCACATGAGGCTTGGGAACCTGTCAGACACCCAACTAACAGGCTTGGGAACCTGCGAGAGAGTAGCACACCTGAGGCTTGGAATCCTAGACTAAGACTTCATTAAGGCTTGGGAACCTGCTAGTCACCCAATTAACAGGCTTGGGAACCTGCGAGAGAGTGGCCCGCCGTGGCTAGCCTTGCCTGGCTATCGGGCGTGACCCCTAGGCGATGGGGTTGGCAATCTTTTAGATTGGTAGTGGCTCAGCCACCATGGTCCAAAACAAGCATTATACTAGTAATGGATATATTTACCTTCTGCAAATTGCCATGCTCTGGATTTGACAGCCTGCAATAGCCTACTATATACGTGCGCCTCGCATATAGAAGTGTCATTTTCAGAGTCCTGTGGCTGAACTAAGAATTCAGATCCCAATCTAAATAAAAGTTACTCTTGTACAATCAAATCTGCTCTATCAAATGGTGTTATTCAAAACCAAATTGGGAAGGTTATATCTTGAGGTTATCTTGAGATGATTTCGGGGCTTTAGTGTCCCCGCGGCCCGGTCCTCGACCAGGCCTCCACCCCCAGGAAGCAGCCCGTGACAGCTGACGAACACCCAGGTAACTATTTTACTGCTAGGTAACAGGGGCATAGGGTGAAAGAAACTCTGCCCATTCTTTCTCGCCGGCGCCCGGGATCGAACCCGGGACCACTGGATCACAATTCCAGTGTGCTGTCCGCTCGGCCGACCGGCTCCCTTGACCGGAATGACGCATATTGAGATGTTTTGCCTTGGAAGTTGGCTAGTTTTGCACAAAATTTTTTTGGCCAACTTTCAAGTGGGCCACCTCTGGACATATAGATACAACAGAGTTGCTATTGCATCACTGCATAATATTGTGCTTGTTATACATTGTTGCAAAAGATCATGGACCACATTGGGTCCAAATTTCTCACGATAAAATTTGGCAGTGATTTTAGCATGGTTTGGTAGCTGAATGGCTACCCAAACTACTTTTTTGATTACACTGCTTTATTCTGCACCAAGAGTTGTCCTGGTATGCCAAATTTCACACCTCTCTGGGCACTAGACGTGATTTGATAAAGGGTCAAAGTTGGCCCTTTTTATGACATGTCCGCATTACCTGGATGAGAGCCCATTGAACATGGACTCTCATCCATGATTGAGAGTATTTAAGAATCAAAGCAGATTGAGCTCTAATATTTTGCACAATTTCATTTGGGGTCTAGGGCTACTTTATTGCAAAATTTTATTAGATTTAGAAAGGGTCAAGTGGGAGGCCTTTGGTGAATTCACATGGAATGACCCACGAGTAAACTGGAGGAGGAGAGGAGACTGGAGGAAGGGCTTGTGGAGAGAAAACTGGCTTAGAGGGTTGTGGAGAGTAAACTGGCTTAGAGGGTTGTGGAGAGTAAACTGGCTTAGAGGGTTGTGGAGAGTAAACTGGCTTAGAGGGTTGTGGAGAGTAAACTGGCTTAGAGGGTTGTGGAGAGTAAACTGGCTTAGAGGGTTGTGGAGAGTAAACTGGCTTAGAGGGTTGTGGAGAGTAAACTGGCTTAGAGGGTTGTGGAGAGTAAACTGGCTTAGAGGGTTGTGGAGAGTAAACTGGCTTAGGGGGTTGTGGAGAGCAAACTGAAGGAGGGGCTTGTGGAGAGTCAAATGAGCCACAGAGATATTAAAATTTTTGTTTCAGTGTCAGAGTAGTTAACAAATAGAATGCTTTAAGTAGTAATGTGGTCGAGGAAAATTCCATACAGTTTCAAATGTAGATTTGATAGAGCCCAAAAGGCTCAGGAATCTGTACACCAGTTGACTGACAGTTGAGAGACGGGACCAAAGAGCCAGAGCTCAATCCACGCAAGCACAACTTGGTGAGTACAACTAGGTGAGAACATGAGGTAATATTTCACGCTCCTATCTCCACATTTATCATGATTCAAATGAGTATTACTGTCAATCAATGCACCCACATCAACAAAGTGTAGTATATGAGTTATCTTTTCATCTGGTTTCACTGTCACACTCACATTAGTCCAATGAAGCCAAAATCTCCCTGCTATGCATGGTAAGCATGTTACAACACACTTATATAGCAAGGTAAAGTACTTACTCAACAACCTCGCCAGGAACTACATAACCTAGACAACTAGTATAGTTTCCACACTTGTTTATATTTTTAGAGTTTGGTTTATTCATTTTCCGCTGGTTATTACTCATTTTTTCCTAGAGTTAACCCCTATTATGTGAAGTTGACCGGATGTAGGTGGGTTCAGGGACTTGTCCTGGTTAAAGAGGCAGATCTGGGCAGACACTTTCCAGATCTGGTGAAACCCCTTCAGGAACTACTGGCTTCCATCACTCTAGATCTTCTGTGGAACATACAACCTCGGCCAATATGAACTAAAAGTAAAAGAAACAGGGTAAGACGATAGCGACACATCTCCACTCTTAGAACCAACAGAACACAACAGAACTTCCCAGTAGACATTTTACGTCTGTCACAACAGACAAAAACAAAAAGGAAAAGTGGAAGGAGCACCTATCTGAACTGACTCAGCTGACCATCAGTGTTGGATAAACAAATCCGTCGTTCACAACTCTGCAACAACTATCAGAGTGAGAAGATATGATTGCTCCCAAGCACAACATCACTATCACAAACACAAGAACAAGCTCACACACTTTAATTGTGAATTTTATGACAAAACACACCGAAATAGCCAACTCTACTCAAGGTATTTTAAGATCATCTGACCAGGACATCGCTGTGAACACAACGATACTCGCAGATCTCCTGACCTCGACTACTACAGCTGACCACTCTACCACTCTCACACAGTACCTCCCTCCACCGACACTCCATTGTCTGAGAGCTTTTGCTGGATCAAATGCTTCACTTGCTGAGGAGGCTCCTGGTCCTCCCCCACCTGCTTTTGCATTCGAAGACTCCACTCAAGCTACCAATCTGGCAGATGTTACTGCAACTCCTCAACTAGATTTTACAGAGACTGTAACTTCTGCACCTACTACAGACATTCCTACTGATGATAGTGAGTCACCAGATACCTACCCAGTCCCTATCTTAGAGGAACTTCAAGCACTGTATCCGAATAGAAGAATTCCTGCTCTTCAAGAGATAATAGATAATCAGAAAAGAACAAATTCTCTGAAAGTGAGACAACTATGTACAAGACACGCCAATAAGGAGGACAGACCCATCGATACAGAGGATATCTACAAACACTACGACAATGATACTCTCAACTTACACCTCATCGATCCAAAATACTTCGAGTTCCACCCAGGACGACACATCGGAACCAAACTACGATTTTATACACAAGAAGAATAAGTAAGAAAACACCGAGAAGCATACGAAGAAAATCTTAGAAAACAAAACAAGAAGAAAGAAGAAGTAGCAGAATATAACTTTATAAAGAAAACCAAGAATGAAGAAAGACTAGCAACACCCCCCCATTGACTGCCTTCAACTACCATCAACTGCCAGTTGCTTGCGAGTCCAGTCCTGTGTCAGAGAGCATCCATGAGAACTTTACCCTACCACCAACCCACAGCATCAGCTGCAACTCTTATCCACGGTGGATGGGCCACCGGCTTGTTTCTCCCCTCTTCGACTTGTCTCCAGTCCCTAGCTCAAGATTTCTACACACTCGCTCCTATCTTTCATCCCCTGCTTGCCTGCTCTAGGGTCCTTGGAACGAATGGAAAACACCGCAATAGCCATCCCGGTTTCCCAAGAAAATAACAGAACCACTCTGGAACTTTGACCACACTTACTATGAACTACACTCAGTAAGTGACTTCCTCCTGGTGACATCAAACAATTCATCAACAGCGTTAGGGGTCTTATAACCTGAATACCAGATTCCCTGGAAAACAGCCTAGGACAACCTGTAACCCTACACTCTCAACAAACAAAGCGTGTGGGATATTCACGTCCCACTTCAGCTTGGAACTCACACCTGGGACCTTGAACATCTTCTTCAAAGTCGGACGAAACCGTACAACACCACTTTGACTCGAATTACCCAGTGTTAAACAATTAATCTACTTGGAACAATAATGATTGGCCACAACACTTTGCAATTTAGGCCCTAGAAGAAATGTTACCACTATTAATGTTATACAAGATTTACCAAATTGTTCTTCCATGACATAATCTTGAGATGCTTGGAGTAGTCTGTTAACAATCATTAAACCTACGAAGCTGGGTCACACCCTCACAGTCAACTGAAGGAGGCTCAATAGGTCTCCATCTGCTCGTCAGAAGCTGATCATCTGGCTGATCTCCGAAACTCTCCAACAATGGATCCAACTTACCAACTGACTCCTTACTATACTCTGATATCTCTGGGACAGTTCTACTTAACTTACACAAATCCAAGGACTTAAAATCTTAAGGGAGCGAGTAAGTAGCTGGTAATTTGGCCTCCTCCCCATCACCATCCACTAGGCTAGGGCGAGGCGTGGCCTCTACAATTGACTCAATCTCGATAACTTTATTCAAACTCTGAAGTGAGCAGTCAAGTATATGTCAACCTGATATCCTTTCCCAATCCATTCATTTGGTTAGGATAAAGCGAAGTCATGGCTACGACTAACTTACTCTCGACTCCTGACTCAACTTTTAGAGTGAGCAAGTAACTGGCACACGGACTTTCTGTTCTGAACCATCCTCTTGGTTAGAATAAATTGAGGTCCTAGTACCAGACTTACTCTCAACAAACAGGTTGGTCACACCTGAATCCTGAAAATCCACTTCCCACTTCTCCACCGAAAGGGTACTAGTCTCTGGAACATTTACCTTGGTAGTGACAGAACTGACAACTGGAACATTAATAGAACTAGAGTCAGCACAGGTAGGGTAGATATCACCATCATCTGCATCTGGCTGTTTACTCAAATAACTGGACTCACCACATGTAGGGTAGATAACACCATCCTCTACATCTGGCTGGCCATTCACACAAACTGGTTTAGGTAACAAAATGAGATCAACCTTCCCAACAACAGAATTAATGGCTACATCATTATCCAGTATTAAATCCACATTTGGGATAGGCAACTGTTTACTAACACCAACAGTGCACTAGCCTGGGGCGATGATTGACCTCAAATTAATGTCTATCAGAGGTACTGTTTGACAACTAACAATACTCTGAAGAACTACAGATTCACCAAAGTCTCTCTTTGTAACATTAGAGCGTACACAGTTTGAAATCAAATTTTAGGAAGCACCAGTATCTCTCAACATAACAAATGGCTTCCATTTACCACTTTTACACAATACTTCGCCAGGAAAAAGATAGGGTTGATAAGTATCTACCCATTTGGGATCTATAGTAATATGTTTAGAAGATCTACTCTGCACACCTCTACTAATTATGAGACAAGTAGGTTTTAAATTAGGATACAAACTAAAACAAGACATGACCTCTTATCTAGCACTGCGTACAAAATCTACTGTCAGGGGTTGACTCTGTCACACTCACTGAAGACTTAGTAATTACATTACTGGGGTATTGCATCCCCAACTGTGTGTTCTCAGACTTGGATTAGCAGGAGAAGAGATCATGTGAGTAGCAGGAGGGTTATAACTTGGTTTGGTCTGGTGAGCATTAAGTTTATGAGCATGACTATTAAGCTTATTATTATATTATTATAAGTAGTATTTGACTGTGCTCTAAAATGCACCTTTGTGAGTAATTCGTGCTCACCAGCAAGCTTAGCTAGCTCAAAAATTTTAATATGCAATCTTTAAATACAATATTCAATATATAAATAAAATATGCAATCACACACATTATATGCTAATTCAAGCTGTGAGTATTAGATCTCTTGTGAGACGTAACATACACACAGGTAACGAGGAAGCAGATGCCAGTAGTGGGCGCCAAGGTTGTGGTCAGCCTGCTAGAGGGAAGCAACAAGTTTGACCTTCATCTCTACGATAACGGCGGAGGAAGTGAGTCTCATCCCACAATACGTTTTCGTTCGATGGTTCTGTACACTGTCCCTGCTGTGTTTACCACTGGTACTGACTTATGTTGTGTTTACACACTGTCCCTGCTGTGTTTACCCCTAGTACTGACTTATGTTGTGTTTACACACCGTCCCTGCTGTGTTTACCCCTAGTACTGACTTATGTTGTGTTTACACACTGTCCCTGCTGTGTTTACCCCTAGTACTGACTTATGTTGTGTTTACACACTGTCCCTGCTGTGTTTACCCCTGGTACTGACTTATGTTGTGTTTACACACTGTCCCTGCTGTGTTTACCACTGGTACTGACTTATGTTGTGTTTACACACTGTCCCTGCTGTGTTTACCACTGGTACTGACTTATGTTGTGTTTACACACTGTCCCTGCTGTGTTTACCACTGGTACTGACTTATGTTGTGTTTACACACTGTCCCTGCTGTGTTTACCACTGGTACTGACTTATGTTGTGTTTACACACTGTCCCTGCTGTGTTTACCACTGGTACTGACTTATGTTGTGTTTACACACTGTCCCTGCTCTGTTTACCCCTGGTACTGACTTATGTTGTGTTTACACACTGTCCCTGCTGTGTTTACCCCTGGTACTGACTTATGTTGTGTTTACACACTGTCCCTGCTGTGTTTACCCCTGGTGCTGACCCAAGTCATTCGCTCTGGGGTAGTAGTTCTATGGGCCTGGGTTCGATCCCCGGTGTGGGCAGAAACAAATCGGCAGTTTCTTTCACCCTGTGGCCCTATTCACCTAGCAGTAAAAAGGTACCTGGGAGTTAAATAGCATCTTCGGGCTGCTGCCTGGGAATGTGTGTGTGTGTAAGAGAACTATATGTAATAGACATAATAGGGGAAAAAATTGGTTAGAAAGCCGGGGTTCAAGAGCTAATAGCTCGATTGTGCAGATACAAATAGTAAACATGTGTGAAGGCGAGTGAGCAAGGCGAGTGAATTTAGGGAAAGAGCACAAGAGGTAAACCCAAATGTAATTGGAATCACGGAAACAAAACTCTCAGGAATCATAACAAATGTGGTGTTCCCCCAGGATTACACTGTAATAAGGAAAGAGGGAGGGTAGGGGAGGAGGCAGAGTGGCCCTACTCATGAGAAAGGAATTGAGTTTCGAGGAGATGGTTATCCCAGGCTATGAAGGGTTTAGAGACTACATAACAGGCACCATAATGATGGGAGGACCTAGAGTAGAAGTAGCAGTGATATATAACCCTCCACCAAATGACAGAAGACCCAGGCAAGCGTATGACAAAAACAACAAGGCAGTTAATAACATAATTGAGAGGGCAGCCTCTGCTGCCTGTAGGAATCGATCCCATCTGCTCATCATAGGGGACTTCAATCACGAAAGGATAGACTGGGAGAACAAGGAACCACACGAAGGAGAGGATACATGGAGAGCCAAACTAGTGGAGGAGGCGACAAGAAACTTTCTAACCTAACATGTCAGGGAACCCATTAGGATGAGGGGAAACGATGAACCAGCGAGACTCGACCTAGTCTTCACTCTGAATGATTCCGACATAAGGGAAATTGACTTCGAGGCCCCAGTAGGAATAAGCAATTACAGTGTACTGACGTTTGAGTATCTGGTCGAAGAAGGGCTAAAGTACTCGAGAAAGGGAACTGAAAGCAAAAGGCTAGCAGTCCGTAAGGAAAATTACGAGGAGATAAGAAAATTCCTAACGGATATAACATGGGAATAAGAGCTTGATGGAAAGGGGAAAGATGGCCCAAGACATGATGTGATACATCACGCAGAAGTGCAAGGAGGCCGCAGAAAAGTTTATCCTGGCCCAAAAGGTAAAATTGAAATGGAGATGAGAAACCCATGGTTTAATCAGAGATGTAAGCTGCTAAGCAACAAAGTAAAAGAGCATGGAGAAACTATTGAAATACCAGGACACTTGAGAGCAGAGAACGTTACCAGAGAGTCAAGAATGAATATGTCAGGGTGAGAAGAGAGGCAGAAGGGCAATATGAAAACGACATAGCAAGCAAGGGTAAGACCCAACCCAAATTGCTGCACAGCCACATCATGAGAAAGCCAACAGTGAAGGAACAGGTAATGAAACTGAGGATAGGAGCAGACAGATTCACTACAAAGGACAAAGAAGTGTGTGAGGAACTCAATAAAAAATTCCAGGAAGTTTTCACATTAGAACAAGGAGACCTTCCAGAAATAAGAGAAGGAATAATTAACCAGGCACCACTAGAGGAATTTGAGATTACCAATAGGTTATATAGGCCCGGATGGAATATCACCATGGATACTAAAGGAAGGAGCAGAAGCACTGTGTCTGCCACTCTCCATGGTGTATAACAAATCACTGGTAACAGGTGAACTGCCAGAAATTTGGAAGGCGGCAAACGTAGTCCCTATATACAAGAAGGGGGATAAACAGGAGGCACTGAACTACAGGCCAATGTCCTTAATTTGCATACCATGCAACCTAATGGAGAAAATTGTGCGAAAAAGGCAAGTCGAACATCTGGAGCGAAGGAACTTTGTGTCACAACACCAACATGGTTTCAGGGATGGCAAGTCATGCCTCACAGGTTTAATTGAATTCTACGATCAGGCAACAAGAATCAGGCAAGAAAGAGAGGGGTGTGCAAACTGCATATTTTAGATTGCCAGAAAGCCTTCGACACAGTGCCACACCAGAGACTAGTGCGAAAACTGGAGATGCAGGCAGGAGTGAAAGGGAAGGTACTCCATTGGATAAGGGAGTACCTAAGTAACAGAAGGCAGAGAGTCACTGTGCGGGTTGAGGTATCAGATTGGCGAAACGTCACCAGTGGGGTCCCGCAGGGTTTAGTCCTTCGACCCATACTGTTTCTTATATACATGTAAATGATCTTCCAGATGGTAGTTAGTTTTAGTTTAGTTCATTTATTATGCACCCCATACCCGTTCTGTGGGCGGTAGTGGAAAGGGTTACAGAGGCACATAATGGGCTCAGGGACTGAACCCCACAATTCATTTAGCTAAGCAAGTTACAATCTTGATGAGCTAGTTACAAAATTCAATATAAGTCATCACATCAACAATGGGTTCGAGATCGACCTCAAGTACAGGTTCTAAATTAAGCAACTGACATATGTGGAGAGCTAGTGTCAAAATTGATATGTTTGTCCTGCACACCGCCCCCCATCCAGTGGGCAGCGGTGGATAGGTTACAATCACTCAGTTACTACCTACAGTTAGCAAACTGGGGATATTTGGCTAAAATTTCTGGTAGCAGATCATTTTGAATGAAATATTGACACATCGCTGGAACATTGGTTATAGAATTGTCTCTAAATTCACGTATCTTTTCGCACTCCATCACATAGTGACGGAGGGTGTGCGAATAATTTTGTTGACACAGTTTACATTTGGTCAGGTCTACATCAGCAGATAATGAGAATTCCCAGAGATACTTGTAACCGAGTCTAAGCCGAGCAGTAGTAACATCTAGAAGTCTGCTGATTTTATTGGATGATCCATAGATGTGTGGCTCCTCTTGCATGATAGTATGATGACAGATGGAATTACTGATGGTAATCCAGATGGTATAGAATCATTCCTCTCATTATTTGCTGATGATGCAAAAATTATGAGGACGATTAAGACGGAGGAAGACAGTATGAGACTACAAGATGACCTAGACAGACTGCATGAATGGTCCAACAAATGGTTACTAAAGTTCAACTCGAGTAAATGTAGGGTAATGAAACTAGGCAGTGGAAGCAGGAGGCCAAACACAGGATACAGAATGGGAGATGAAGTCCTTCATGAAACGGACAGAGAGAAGGAACTAGGAGTTGACATCACACCAAACCTGTCACCTGAAGCTCACTTCAAAAGAATAACATCTGCGGCGTATGCGAGGCTGGCTAACATCAGAACTGCCTTCAAGAACCTGTGTAAGGAATCATCCAGAACCTTGTATACCACATATGTAAGACCAATCCTGGAGTATGCGGTCCCAGCATGGAGCCCGTACCTTGTCAAGCACAAGGCGATGCTTGAAAAAGTTCAGAGATATGCCACTAGGCTAGTCCCAGAACTACAAGGCATGAGTTACGAAGAAAGGCTGCGATAAATGCACCTCGCGACACTAGCAGACATAAGAGTAAGGGGAGCCATGATGACTACCTACAAAATTCTCAGAGGAATTGACTGGGTAAATAAAGATAAACTGTTTAACATGGGTGGTACGCGAACAAGGGGACACAGATGGAAACTGAGTACCCAAATGCGCCACAGGGACGTTCGAAAGAACCTTTTCAGTGTCAGAGTAGTTAACAGATGGAATGTATTGGGCAGTGATGTGGGTTGAGGCTGACTCCATACACAGTTTCACATGTAGATATGATTGAGCCCAGTAGGCTCAAGAATTTGTACATCAGTTGATTGACAGTTGAGAGGCGGGACCAAAGAGCCAGAGCTCAACCCCCGCAAGCACAACTAGTGAATACAACTAGGTAAATACACACACACACAGGAAAAGATCTCCCTGGAGCACAACTTGTAGGGGGCACCCGTCCTCTCACCACAAGTTCAAACACAGCCCTAATATCAACGTCAGTATACAAACACAGCCCTAATAACAACGTCAGTATACAAACACAGCCCTAATAACAACGTCAGTATACAAACACAGCCCTAATAACAACGTCAGTATACAAACACAGCCCTAATAACAACGTGAGTATACAAACACAGCCCTAATAACAACGTCAGTATACAAACACAGCCCTAATAACAACGTGAGTATACAAACACAGCCCTAATAACAACGTGAGTATACAAACACAGCCCTAATAACAACGTCAGTATACAAACACAGCCCTAATAACAACGTCAGTATACAAACACAGCCCTAATAACAACGTGAGTATAGAAAAACTTGTTTGCAGTGCTCTGTGCTTTTGTGGGCAGTTCCTTTTGGCGAATTAAATAGTGCTTCA